ACCTTGTTTTTAAAGGTTATGCTTTGGACTCCTTTTTATGCTAAAACAGGAGAAAAAAGAGGTACCAGTGTTGCTTTGAGCTGAAGTATTCCCCTAATAGGGGAGAGCTATATGAATTTTATATAAGCTGCAATTAGGACAGTTTTCTCTTTTTTAGTATGAATTTATGTAAAGTTAATAAACATAAGTGTATTCTCTTGGTTTCTCTTCATTGTCTCTCCCCATTTGAGAGCAAATGCCCAGCACTTTCCAGTGGCTGTGGGTACCAGGAACCTCCCTTGTGAAGAGTCTTAGTCTAGGGTCAGTTTCTCCAGAAGCAGCATCTGAGATGCGGATTCTTGTGCAAGTGATTTATTTAGGAAGTGACCTTGGAGAAGAGGCATAAATGGGCCATACAAGGTAGAGGAAGTTGCAAAACGGGCATGCAGACTCAGCTGGCATTGGCTTCAGCCCAGGGGAGCTCTGGAATATGAATTGCACAATAGAGTTTGTCCCACCTTGAGACAAAAGGGGTGTACTGTGGTACCCAAGTCAGTCATGCTTGCTGAGAGAGCATTGTAACTCCCAGGAAAAATGACTCCTGTGCAGCTGGGGCATGCTGAACCTGTCTAGGAAAGGGTTCTGGGGAGCACCAGCACCAACTCTAAAGGGTCCTCGTGTGCCAGAGCACGTACTATGCCCCGCCTCCCTGCCTTCTGTGTTTAGGAAGAGGGGCATAGGATTAAAGACTTTAGTTTAAGGCTGTTTCAGTGGCCACAAGAGGGATGTGTGGGTGCTGACCACAGCAGGAGGGTAACCTGTAAGACCCTTTCCTGTAGCATCACACCTGGAGCAGTTGAAGCATGTACCATATGCTCAGCTCTCTTGCTTTTAGGCATGTCTTTGTTTTTCACTCTTTTTGTTCATCCTCTTAAGATCTAACTGGAATTTTGAAATCTTTATTTGACCAAGTTAGATGGAAGAGAGACTTGGAATGAGGCCATAAATGCTGGCTTAAATGTTATTGTCTGGCATTTTGGAATTGACCGAAACAAAGTAATTCAGCAGTTCTTGAAAAATGAAAATTAGTCTTAGGTCAAAGGTAAGTAAACTGAGGTTCCATCAAGTTCCACAGCAAATTTTGAAGCCATACTTATACCTTCATACATATGCAAAAACTGAGGGAAACTCTTCACGCCAGTAAGTCTTTATGTCAAGAGTAGATAGACCTTTGACTAAAATTGTGAAACCTCTCTTCTTGGTTTGAAAGGAATTTCCGGTGAGGTAGTGAACATTATAACAGGAGCTGGGACTGGGTTCATTAAACTTGCTTGTGTGTGTTCAGGCATGTACATGTGCACTCACACATGTATGTAAATGCTGGGGCACTTGAGAGTAATTATACCAGGATGACAGACATGAACCAGGACTGTCCTAGGGAAAGCAAGAGAGCTAAAGTCACCCCAGACTTGGGCTCACCACCTCTGATGACTACCAGTCAATTAATTAACTAGTACTTAGAGTAGCTTCTCCTTGGGTTGTTTGTGGATATTACTTCTGGCAAAAGTAACCAGGGAAGAAGGTAGTGGCAAGAGGCCATCCACAGTAAGTCATTAGTGTCAGTCTTTGAGACATGGAGGCTTGACATAGCATTTGAGAAATTCTCTGATTTCCTTATTGAAATTCTTAGTGCCTATCCTCTAAGTTCCAAGGATACCCCTCATATTTGCAGTCACAGTGTCTGTCTCTGATTAGGGTTTTGCCTCTTCCGAGCTATAAACTCTATAAGGATGGGGACTAATGTCTTTCACACATGTGTCCTCAGTGCGAATGAGGGGTATAATATGCTCTGGGTCCAGTCTGAATTCTGGGCCATTTCCATAGCATATATGTGAACTTACCAACATGAATTTGGAAGAGCAAGATGGAGAAAGAAAGCCTTAGCGTCTTGACAGAGAGGACGACTTAAACAGCTATATGGAAAGGATGCCAGGCAAAGAGTATAGAAAGTAATGTATGTGTGCACTAGGGCAGGGGGATAGACAATACAGAAGAGTATGGGCTAAAATGGAAGCCAGGATTAGGATTTTGGACTTCATTCTGTTTTCATTGGGGAAGAGGAATTTTTTAATTTTTATTTTCTATTAGTACATATTTATAGTACATAATGATTGCATTCTCCTCATGGGGAGTTGGTACGTGCACATAACACATCTCAATTATTTTTTCATTCTCTCTCCCTCCTTCCTCCATCTTTTGGTCCCCTTCCCATTGCAAAAGATCTAATTTCATATTACCTATTATCCATCTTTTATTTTGCTTTTTATTTATATTTTGGGTTTCTCATATAAGAGAAACCATGCGATATTTAAACTTGTATGTCTGATTTGTTTCACTTAATATTATAGTTTAAAGATACATCCATTTTCCTACAGATGACCCTAGTTCATCCTTCTTTATGGCAGAGTAGTACTCTATTGTGTATAAATACCACATTTTCTTTATCCATTCATCTGTTTCATTATCCATACAGGCCACTTCCAGAGAGGAATATTTTAAGAAAATTCCTCAGGCAGCCTATAAAATAAATAGAAGAAAAGCAAGCTAATATTCATGGCCATTTTAAAGCAGAAACAATTCTTTTATGAACATTTATTGATAATTCTAATTCCAGGTCCCACAATGTCTGTTTATGCAATTAGTCATCTGGGATGTGGCCCAGGAATCTGAATTTTAAAATAACGTTCCTGCCATTAGGATTGCAACAGCAATGCTGTAGGGACAAGGCCATCTAAGCCATTTGGAGTTCAAATCTCACCACAGCTTGCTGAGTGCTGGACATGGAGCTACAGCCTTTAATGTTTGCCCTGCTGGGTTTCAGTCTTACTTTGATCTGTTCCTCCCTTTTGGAATGGGAATGTTTATCCTGTACTATTTTATGTTAGCAGTGATTAACTTTCCTTTTTATTTTTATAGAGCCTCATAGCTAAGAGTTTTAAGTCTCAGAGGAGGACTTTGGCAACCCATAGAGATGGACTAAATGCATTTTTCATAAAGAGATATGCATGAGTCTTTTGTTATGTTTTATATTTAGATGCCCCCAAGCCTCATGTACTCATAGATGGGACTTGTGAAGGTGATTGGATCATGGGGGCATTATACTTATCAGTAGATCAGTCCACTGATGAGTTTATAGCTAAATGTGTTAGGAGATGGGGCCTGGTGAGAAGAGATGGGTCACTGGGCGTGTGGCCTGGAAGAAATATATTTCTCTCCTTGGCTCCTTCCTTTACACTCTGCTTCCTGGCCACCATGAAGTGAGCAACTTTTCCTCCAACATGCCTCTCTGCCATGCTGTCCTGCCTTGGAGCCAGCCAACTATGAACATAAACATGAACCAGAATAAACCCCTCCTCCAATAGAAGGAGAGGTAGGGTAGGGTATTCCAAAGGTGATGCTAATGCAGGTCATCTTCTGTCTTCAGATGAGGAATGCTGGCTAAGGGCATGACGAGCCATTAGGAAACTTATAATCATTAAGATCAGTACAGTAATTTCCAAATTGAGTACTGAAAAGATATACTAGTTGCCTTTTGTATTTGTCTTCTATCTTTTGTTCAATTATATTTTTATTAGTTTCATTGCTACTCTGTCAGTTGTTTTGATGTTTAACAGATAAAATACTTAAGTCATCAAGTGCTCAATTCAGTGAATTTTCACAAAATGATCACATATGTAACCAGTAACCCAAATGAAGAAAGAGAAAATTCCCAGCACCACACACACTTCCTTCTGCTTATGACACCCCCCCCAATTACTGTCATGACTTTTAACCTGTTAGATTAGTTATGTTTTGGCACTTTTTTTGAGTAATGTTTATAATATGTTACAATAGTAAGACATATATATATATGTAGATATATATGTAGATATATTGTGGATAATATATTTTTTACTGATCAGCTGCTCAATAAAAAAATTTCACTATAGTTCAAAGGACTGGAAATATTCTGAAATACAGGTCTCAGAAATTGGAGGAAGGAGCATGGACAGCGTTTCAGTGTCAGAAGGCATGAGGTGATCCTGTGGGCTGCCACCATCATTGGCTGTGCCCATTCTGTAGAAATTCTCAGCTGTGGAGGAGGCAAGAAGATAGGTTTTTGAGTTAGCCAAGTCTGATGCAAATTCTTTCTGGTTTGCCCTCATCAGCTGAATGATGTTAGGGAAGTCACATGACCTCACTAAACTTCAGTGTCCTGGCTTTAGGTGTAAGGTAGACACTCAACAAGTATTAGTTTTATTCCATACCTTTTCCTTTTCTAAAATCTGCAAATATACTATCTCCCCTTGGAAGTCACATTGACTCAGAGATGTCCTGTGGATTATAAGAGGCTGATAAACATGCCAGGGTGGGAAGACAGCAGCTCCCTGTGGCCTGTGTCTAAGTTCTCCATCCTCAGTGTGCAGAGTCCAGTTCAGAGGAGCCACAGTGGTAGCCCTTCCTTACCCTTGCACTCATTCCCACCCTGGAGAGACTTGCAGGTAAGCAGATCAGTCTCACTACAGTAGAAAGAAGTGAGCCTGTAGAAAGAAGCCTCCTTTACTTGGTGTGATATTCTTAGAATTCATCTTTCTTAAACTAGCAAGATCTTGAAAGGTGGAATTAGAGGATGGGCTTGGGAGAAAGGAACAAGAAAGATGACTTGGATGCCTTTTAGTTAGAATCTTAGGAAGCTTCCAATTCATCCATGGCCTAGCCCAGTTTACCAGGCCAGTCTGAGGGTTTGAACCCAAAGTATTAGCTCAAAATGAACAGTGATTTGTCCTATCCATTTGTCTTCTTAGAGAAGCATGGGAAGGTAGGCAGCTAGAAAAGGGGCTTGGTCAGAGCTCTCTAGACCACTGTAGCCCCAGTGACTGTTGTCAGAACTACTCCAAAGGATATGATATTGTCACTGAAGCCACTCTGCACAGCTGTCTTCCCTTCAGCCTGCCCATATGTTTGTGCTTTCTATCTTGTAGGAGGAAATGGGCATCTCCTGTGAGCTGTTGGAATCAGACTTCCTCAAATGCAGCGTGGGATTTCCTTTCATGAGGTCAAAGTCGAAGGTAAGGGACAGGGATGGGACATTTCCTTGGCCACTGGCTCCCAACCCTTCCCATCAGACACTTAACCAGCAACTGCCCTCCTTCCACCTCTGCGTCTTACAGTGGCTACAGTGGCCCCTTAAGCCCTATATGCGTCTATCACTGGTGGTCCACTCCAGGGAAGCTGCATTCACATGGTTTTATTCTCTGATGCACACGATGTTCCCTTTTATGATTAATCTTTTTTTTTTTTTTTGGTACTGAGGATCGAACTTGGGTCCTTGCGCTTGCGCAGCAGGCGGCAAAACCACTGAGCTAAATCCCTAATCTTGATTGTCAAGTTGATTGACTTGAGAGCACCAAGAAGATTAATAAAGTACACTTCTGGATATGTCTGGGTAGACCCTGAAACTATATCTGGTCCCTGGTCCCTCCTCTCTGGTTCTTCTCCTGGTCTCTGCTTCCTTGCTGCCATGAATTGAACAGTTTTCCTCTGCCATTCCATCATTATGTTTCTACTTTGAAGCCAGCTGGCCATGGATTGACACTTCTGCAACCATGAGCCAAAATAATCCTTTTCTCCTTTAAGTTGATTTTCTCAGGTATTTGGTCACAGCAACAAAAATGCTGACTAAAACATTCTTTAAATGGGGAAGTCACATCACAGTCTCCTTTGACAAGCAGCATTTGATTGGCCTTCCTAAAATGTCTTGTTCTGGGACATTCCATGCCACAGCACAGGAGACGATGTGGTGTGAACTAGTAACCCACAACCCTAACTCTGGAAATCCCCTGAACACTTAGAATTTTCTGGAAACCTCTCAAAATTCTCAACCATGAGTAACTGTATGTCACTTGTTTTTGAAAAGTAAAAGAAATTACAGTGTTTATATGAAGCTCAACAATTGGTACAACATACCTAGATATTCATGGAGCAGTGAATGTGTGCTGTGATTATAAGTAGATAAGAAGATGGTTAGAAGATTGGCTTTGGCAAGCAAAACTAGAATACAAAAGAACAGGTCTCCCTTTTGAAATGAAAGCTATTTTCCCTGGTGAGAATTAAAGGAAAATTAATCTCCTTCGTCTGCCTTTTTTCTACCTAAAAAAAAGTAAAATCTTCATCCTTCTCTCCTGCCTGTGTCATAGAATCAGATCATTTGTAGTCTCTCAGGCTTTTTGGTCCCAGTACCCAGAAGTTGTTTTGAAAACCAATGGTAAGAATGTTATAGTGAGATAGATTTGCTCATTTCTTAGCAAATCACTCAAATCCATCAGCCTGTTGAATGTACCTGCTCCATGCCACAGCAGCTATTATGTCCATGATTCCTCAGCCTGTCTGGCTCCTTAAGGTCTCACCCTAAATATCACATTGGCAGTTCAAAGTTCAATGTATGAATGGAAGGGGCCAGAAACATTTAGCCCATAACTCTTCAACACTCTATCAGTCCTAACCAAGGATGTGAAGACTCCAGTAGTGGTAGTATATCTTTAACATCTGCCTTTCACCTGCCAGTCTCACTTTTTAACAAAGACAGAGTAGAATTTAGGTGCGGAGGCTTCAATAGCCTACAGAATTTAACACTGTTTATGACTACTTTCTCTTTAGGGCAAGTGGTTCTAGATTCCCGTATATGATAGTGACATAAATTGTTCTTTTAAGATAATCTTTAAGGGCCAGGGATTTAGCTCAATGGTGCTGCCTCCTGCCTCGCAAGTGCAAGGTCCAGAGTTAGATCCCTGGGATCTAAATAAATAAATAAATAATCTTTAAAGGAATAAGACAACAAAAATGCGAAGTAAATACCACAGCCTATATGATATACACATGTGGCAAAATTGGGAAGATGATGCAATTAAAATTTAGAATGCCCTGGTGTAAGAGTTCAAATATGTCACTCCCTAAAGGAAATCACAGTGGCTAAAAAAGGACTTGATTTTGCTGTGTCTTTGGTATGACAAGCAGAAGGATATGCATAGAAAATGAAGTTTGTCATGCAGATGAGCTTCCAGAGGTCATAAATTGCAGAACGTTATAGCCAATGTAGTTTAAGCAGGGAATGATTACTGGAGCCTAGTGTCACTTTCTTTTTCCCTAGTATGATTTCAGCGTAATCTTTGATACAAGCCACCTGTCTGGGGAAGAGGAAGTTCTCAGCTTCATCATTACAGCTCAGAGGTAAGGGGACCCAAACATTTTTGTCAAAGATAAATGATGTATGGGACCAGGAAAGGACGTGCTCTGGTCATATTTTGATGATTCTCAGGATGCTGAAGAGAGAGGAACACTCACTCAGTGATAAATTCCCAATTGCTAAATAGGATCAGATCTCTTGGCAATGATGATTGTCTACTTCTGCTTGCATAAGCCACCAATTCCAATTGAACTGGGAGGGACTTGGATTCTACTAGTTGGAGGTAATGATTCTACAGCTGAAGAGAGACAGGCCCATGGAAGTGAAGTTGTTCTAGTCCAAGGTCATTTCTTGCTTGGCCATATGTTTCCCAAATCAGACAGATGTCCTCGGTTTTCAGGCTAGGTCAACTGCTTCTCAAGGATAAGTAGCTGCACTCCTTAATGGAAAGGAGAAGGGTACATGCTGTGAGGTCCTGACCAAGCTGGCTGGTAGAGGCCTCAAAGCTCAAGTGATGCTCCTTGAGAAACAGATTGTCCTGAAAACTGATGAACAGACAGGGAAGCGGGTGGTGGGTGGTAACTCCTTCCTTCAGGAGTGTGAATAGCCAAGGATATCTAAGACAGCCTTTGGGAAGTTATGAGATGCCTCCTTGAGCCAGAATCAACTCATGTCTTGAAGCAACATCTTGGTAGCAACTAGCTCATGGCTAGGATGCAGGGGAAAGCATTCAGGTGGGTGAATAGGGAGATACAAGCTTTGATGGGGTAGTGGTTAGACCTGTTCATTTAAATTTTATTTGGAAATTATTTTAAACTTAACAGAAATGTTGCAAGAATAACGCAAAAAAACCCTCCTCTATACCCTTCACATAGATTATCCAATGTTAACATTTTGCCTCATTTACTTTATCATTTTCTTCTATATGTGACTTTTTTTCTTAACCCTTTTTGAATAAGTTGAAGAAATCTTGCCCCTTGATCCCTATATCCTAAGTGTACATTCTCAAAGAATGAGACTCTTAAATAACCACAGTATAGTTCTCAAATTCAGGAAGTTTAACATTGATTCAATACTATTATCTAATCTTCAGTTCATGTTCCAGTTGTGCTAATTGGCCCCAGTGATATCTTTACAGCCACTTTTTTTTACTGGTTCATAAGACTTGATTATTTTCTGTTCACTTTATTTTCAAGATCTCATAGTTTGTGTTCACATAAAACATGACTGTGATCTAACAGGAACACATGCAAAGCATAGAAAGGGACTCCATACCTGTGGCTGGAACCCAGGAGGGCTTCCCTGGGGAGGTGACACTGCAGAGGAGTCTGTTTCCAGGTTGAGACACACAGGAAGTGCATCTGCAGTGCAGCCTGCTGAGTTCATCATGTTGGGGGTGGGCATGGAAATGAATGGGGATTCACTGGGGAGTATACAAGGGCCCTGGAAGATTGGGTGGAAAGTGGAGCCAGTTGTAGTGGTGTGTGCCTGTAATCCCAGCACTCTGGGAGGCTGAAGCAGGAAGATCTCAAGTTCAAGCCCACCCTGGGCAATATAATGACTTAGCAAGACCTTATCTCAAAAATAAAAATAAGAAATTAAAAGGGGACTGGGGATGTGACTCAGTGCAAAGGCTCTGGGTTCATTCTCCAGTACCAAATAAAGAGGAGCCTGAGCTGGACCCTGGGGGACAAAGTTAGCCTCAGAAAGTCTGAACCATATTCCAAATGAGGAGCCAGCAAAAGTTTTCAGTGTCCCAAGCTAGCTTGACCACAGAGCATGAGATTGTCCAGTTTAATGTAGGAGGTACATGCCCCTTCAAATCTGAAAGTTCTCATTCTCCTGCCATTTCTTGGATCCACAGCAAACTCACCACTGATGGACAGACCCTTCAGTGTGCTCTCTCAGTCCTTCAGCACCTGAGGCGGCCACTGCTCTTGAAAAGGAACATGACATGATGACATGGAGAGGATTTCCCCTGTCAAAAAGAGGAAACTGCCTGCTTCCCAGGCTCATTTGTGGCAAATCAGGGGGGTCAGGGAGGTGAAAAATCCGCCTATTAGAATAGCTTATCTGTGGGCCAGGGCTGCTCTGGTCTTAGATGCACATTGTTGTCATCCGGGGAGCTTTAAAACGTCCTGAGGCTTGTTTCACCCACTACCTCACCCCACATCCTGAGATTCTGACCTAATTGGTCTGGGCCAAGCACTGGGCACTAAGATTCTGGAAAAGGCTCCTCACATGATTCTAATGAGCAGCTAAGGCCGATAGCCACTATCTGTGTGTTCCCTTACACTGTGCTAGACACATTATCACTTGATAAACTTCTGTTACGTACCTACTATTTACAGTGTAGTGCCAAGTGTGGACCACATAAGAAAATGGTAGTAACCTAGTAAATTCAAGAACACCTGCTCTGTACATTAATATTGTTTCACAGCCTCAGGGGATACCTAATATTTATTTTTTAATTAATTTTATTGGTGCACTTTTGATATACATAATGATCACATTCATCATAGGAAATTTGCACCTGTACATAATATATTTTGATTCTTTTTTTTTCCATTCCTTTCCTTTCAACCCTTCTTTCCCTCCTTATTTACAAAAGCTATGTTTCTATTTTTGTCTTCTATTCTTTTTTTTCCTCTTCCCCCTTTCTCTTCCCCTTCCCCCCTCCCTTGTTCCCCTTCCCATTTGAACATTTTCTTCCTGCTTCCCAGTATCTGTCATCCATTTTGGTGCTTATTTGCCCTTTTGAGAATGTTTATAAGTGAAATAACTAAAAGAATTTTCAGTTTCTTGAATCACAGATGTGTGAAGGAGATCACATTATCTTTTAAACACACAGTAGAATATTTCTGGCACTTGCTTCTTTTCAGGCTTTGGTGCAAATCTGGCCTTCCTGCCCCAGAGGTACTCGCAGCACTTGACTCCCTGCTACACTGGGCAAATCCTTAAAGCTCCTTATCTTGAAAGCCATAGTTAAACTATCAGTTGTTCTTCCATCACCACCCTTTGAAGGTCTGTTGCCTACTTGTAGATTTAGGAGCTCATAATGCTGAGACTAAACAGTGTCTCGAGATCTCGCTTCTCCATGGCCAGAAGCCTGGCTTTGCAGACCACTGGAAAGCAGCCCAGCAAGTGGGTGTGCAGGATGGTGGGAGCCTTTTGAGATGTGGCCTCTTTATCTCAACTGTTCAACTTGGCTTGTTCTCCAGCCATTATAGATGACAGATGAGACTACTGAGCCTGAGCTGCCAGCAACCACAGGTGGCTGGACAAATGGCAGACAGGGGTGGCTCTTCCATCAGGAGTTGATTACTCAGACCTGGCAGGATGCTGCAGTGGGGGACAGGAGGGAAGGAGGCCAGGGTGTTGCTGTCCTATGGCAGGGGAGCCACCTCTGGTTCACCCATGTTCGTGATTCCTGGGCTTTGACTCCCCTTGCCATTGCAAAGGGAGGGTAAAGAGGTTAAGCTAGGTGGGCATCTGGCCATGCTGTTGCACTAGTGTCATCCCACCCCAGGCGTAATCACTATGACCCTAAGGGGTCAGAGACACCCAGTACTATTGTTTTAGAACAATAGAGATGAGAAAGGATGTGAGACCTATTTAAGTACTGTTGCCATTCAGCACTTGCTGGGTGGGAGAGGAAGGCAGTGGGGTGGCGAGAGGGCACAGAACAGGTGGGAGTGCCTGAACCTCAGCAGATCTGAGGAACTCTTATGTTCCATCCCTGGAGGGTGAATTTGGCAAAAGGAGAAGGAATCATGGTAGAAAAAGCCCTGGCTTGGAGTCTGACTCAGCTGATTGGAAACTCAGCTCTGACTGGCTTCCAGGAGGACCATGAGCTGTCTGAGCTGCTTCTCACCTATCAGTTGTGGTCTTGCCTAGGGTTACTGTGAAGTTATTGCAAGCTCATGCTGATAAGTGCCCAGCATGGTGCCTGCACACAGAAGCCACCCAGCAGCACCAGCTCCTTGTGTCCCCTTTTCCAGAAAGACCCCACAAGAATCCTCATTCTCTGCTTTTTCCCCCAGGGAAAGGTCGCCTTGGTGAGAAACGCTCCCACCTGAGTCTATGGCAAGAGTGTGTGGGAGATTTGTTATGCCAGGTTACCCATGGCCTCTCTCCTTCACTGTCCATGGACCATGGGTGAACCTTCCATGTAGCAAATACCTGCTGAGGCCTAGCAACCCCCTTGCTGGCTATAGTACCCTAACCTCACTGGTCCACTGTTCATGGAACAATCCCTTATAGAAGTAGCATCCACAGTGGGTGCTTCACCTTTAACCTCTCAACACACCCACTGCAGTCTTGCCACTCTTCTGAGACTCTCTCTGACCAGAGCCTACTCACTTGTAAGACAGGGAGGGTATTCATGTCCCCTATTTCCTCCTGCTGCAGCAGCTCTCTAGAGTTAGTGGACAAAGGCCCGGCTCCCATGGCCTCAGTTGGGAAGGCTGAGATATATGCTGTGCGTTGTCTTCCAGAGTTTCCCAGTGAGACTGAGCCCCAGTTGCCTCTAGCTCCAGTCTCCCAGATGACATGTCTTTGTTGGCTTCTTTCCCTTCCCAGTCTTCCTCTCCACTCCCTGGGGTCACTTCCCAAATAACCTACTTGGCACCACCTCTTTGTGAGTGAAACACAACTAAGACAGTTTGAGTACCTGCTGTGCCTCTGCATAAGCAACTCTGGTACCAAAAGTGGAACCAAGGACAAATCAGGTGAGGCTGCCCTTGGGGAAGGTAGACTCACTGTAGTGAGGGAGAGCAAGCCTACTGCTAGACAGCTTGTGTGGGCCAGTGACTTCATTTTCTCTCCCCGCACAGTGGCAATGTGGAGCGATCTGAAGCCCTGCTTGACAACACTCTCATACTGACGGTGCCTCTGGTGCATGAAGTGGACACATCCATCACTGGGTGAGTAGCCCAGTGCAGGCCTGGGTGACCACGGGGGTGCCCTCCAGGTGAATGCTATGCTGTTTTGTGTTTGTATGTGTTGCTGGCCAGGAGCAGTGGCCCGGGCACTCTTTTCCTCCCAGCCTTGGAAAGCAGGATGAAGCCTTAGCTGAAGTGACTTGCACCCTCCTCCTCTTACCTTGTTTTCTTCTCGGTCCTAGCTACCCACCCACTTGGTGGTGACACCAGAAGTTTGATGGCAAACCCCATAATTTCTTGAACATTCTGTACACCTTTATGTGCATCTTTTCTCACCTTGTCATAATGCCATAATGGTGGCTGGAGTGTAGTTCTTGGGACTAAAATCTCAGCCAGAGGCTATTGCCAAATGTGCCCCAAGCCTTGGCTCACAGGAGAGCTCCCCTTCTGATAAGCTTCACAGTTGGTGCCAGCTTTGTGTTTTTCTGTTAGTTCCTTCTTCAGAGCCACAGATCGTTCTACCTGATGTCTGTGATGACCTGGAATAGTTAGGGAACTATCAGGATGGCCACACTGTCTGTATAGGTGAAGACCACAGCCACTCAGTGCTGCTGCTGTTGTGGGAAAGCAGGACTGCAGGCTGTGGTCTGCAGGGAACCCAACAACCCAGGTCAGTTTTTAGCCAAATCCCTAGACAAATGAGAACTCACTTCTTGCTCCCATCTTCAGCAAACAGAGTACATACCTCTTTGATAGTGGAAAAAATGTTTGCACAATTGGTTTAGATCAAATGAAGAACCATGAACCTTTGACCCAAATGCAAGCTGTGCTTTCTGGAGGTTCAGTTTCTCATTTTTCATTTTTCAAGTGCTTCTGAGTCTCATCCTTGGCTAGAAAAGGAATGTTGATACATTTGAGAGGAGCCATCCCTGCAATAGCTCCTGCCCTGCAGGGAGCCAGGGGAATGAGTGGCCTTGATTCCTGTGCCTGAGCTCCTGGCATTTTTCATCACATTTTCTAGACAGGAGGCACTCGTGGAATAGATTTGCAAATTAGCATATATTTGTCTCTCTTCACAGCTCTTTTTTAACCATAGGGTTTATTTACTTGTCCGGTCCAAGAACAGTGAGAATATACCCAGAACCAAGCCCTGTCCTTAGGGATAAAGAGAAAACACCTCCCACACATACGTGCTCATGTTGTTAGGCCTTGGGAGACCTCTCTGTGAGGTGTTAACAGGCCCCTATGAGGCCATCAGGTAAACAAATGAGTCAACCTCTGATCTTTCCAGCAACCTAAAACAGGGTGAGTTTAGACGAACCAGTTCTTGACATTTGGCAATGCTGGGAACTCACTGTGTTGCCAAAATAATGTGCTTAAATTAAAAATAGTTGGATTGCTGTCTAGTGGAACTCAGTCCCAAAACTCTCAACATAGTTGTTCTTAGGTAAGTAGGGCTCTGAGCATCTAGGATTTGTTATTTGTGTGGGGGTGTCAGAATGAGCTTTGTTCCTTTTCAGGGACTTTTTCATAGCAGCCGGAAAGCATTGCTACAAACTGAGCTTGAGTTTCCCCACTGCTGGAAATCAGGGAGAATGCCATCATCAAATTGACTGGACTTTGAAATAACTAGTTTTTAGCAATCATGATAGTCTGACAAATTTAAATTAAATTTTTGAAATGAATATGTATGGGGGTAAGGTTTGGCTACCATGTACATAATTCATTTACATTTATTTTAAAAGTTTATTATAAACTTCCTTGATCCACAAAATGTTTTTTAAGTGACAAAACAGAAAATGTGTGATTTTATTGTACAGGTTTGTTTATTCTTTTGGTGCTACTAGAGATTAAGCCTGGGGCCTTCATGCTGAGCTATAGCCCCTAGCCCTTTTTTAATATTTTGAGACAGGGTTTTGTTAAATTGCCCAGGCTAGGTTCAGACTCCCCATCCTCCTGCCTCAGCTCCCCAGAGTGCTGGGATTACAAGGCATGTGCCTCAATGCCTGGCTTTATTATCCAGTTTTTTAAAAGGTTGCCATAGCTTTGATTGTTAAAACCTCCTCAATTTAGAAATTTAATCTTGGTACCTAGTTACCTAATGTATATGTAGCTTAGTGATGTGGTCTAAGGTTAGAAGACAAACTAGAAATGTCTGTTTAGAAAATAGACTGTCAATATCCCCCCCAGGAAAGAGAAGAAATAGTCCCAGAAGGGAAACATTTGGTGGGAGACACTGGAGTAAATATAGATAGATATTTGTGTTCTTGGGACAACAATGACTGTGGGTACTCGATTGTGGTTTGGGATGACAGTCTTTATGCTTTCCTTTTCAGAATTGTGTCTCCGACTTCATTTGTGTATGGTGAGTCTGTGGATGCATCCAACTTCATTCAGCTGGATGACCTGGAGTGTCATTTTCAACCCCTCAACCTAACCATTCAGGTACCCACATCTGGAAACCACTTCTGTCACTGGGTGTTGACAGAAGGCCCCATGGGATGTGTCTCCTAGTGAAGAGCAGCTAAAGGGCTAGCTTGTTTTAGGAGAAACCCTCCCCAATCTGGTTTGCTGGGAATGTATGAGTTTGAGGTGTGTGTCTTTTCTCTCTGTAACCAAAAATGCCAACTCCTGTAGTTTCCAAGACTTGGAAAGAGTCACTCCATGATGAACATCAGCTTTCCCTCCAAGGCCTCTGTATGGCTGAGGCAAGGCCAGTGTCCGGGCCCACATGGTTCTATAGGACTCCATCATTCTCCAGCTTAAGGCCGGGGGAGCTTCAGAGGATCAGTTGCATCTCATTCCTCCTGGGGTTGCCATGCTAACTCAACCAGGAGCCTACTCCTCCCCCAGGAGATCAGGCTCTGGGAAGTGCAGCTTTACAAGGGCAAAGCAGTGTGAGCTGATGTAAACCTTCACGGGAAGAAGTATGCTTCCCTTCACTGAGCGGGGCCTGGCTCATCTCAGTCACCTAAGTGTCACTTCCATACTCACTCAGTATGGTCTGTGGACATCATGAAGAACACTGTTCTTTCTCTTGATTATGAGTTATAAACTTTTTCTGAAAAGGCCTAGCAGGTAGGTGTTATATAGGCTTTGTGGGCCATAGTCTGTGTGGCAATGATTTGATCCTGCTACTGTAGCACCAAGGCAGGCATGAGCATTACATAAATAAAACCTTTCTTAGGAAAGAAGGGAAAGGAAAAAAATGATGAGAAATGGAAAAAATGGAAATAAAGTCTTTGTAAATAGGGAAGGGTGGAGGGCGTGAAGGGAGGGCTAGGAATGGGGAAAAAATAAGAACCAAGATGCATTATATAAAGGTACAGTTCCCAATGAGAAATGTAATTGTGTTGTATACCTACAATGTACCAATAAAAGAATTTAATACAAAAAAAAACCTTTCTTAGAGACACTGAAATATAAGTTTCACATAATTTTTACATGTCATAAAATGTTATTGATCTTTTGACTATTTTCCCAACCATTTAATGATGTAAAGTGACAGTTCTGAGCTTATAGACTACAACAGGAGACATTGGGCCAGATGTGGTCATAGTTTGTTGACCCCTGCTTGGAAAGTGTGAATTCTCTGACCAGCTGTTCATCATGTGACTGTGCATGTAAAGCTGGAGGGACCTCAGCATCATCTAATCTATGCCCCCTCAACAAACAAACACAAAGGCCCAAGTGAGAAAGGATATGCAGAAAGCAAGTCCTAGAGCTGGGTAAGGTGCAGTTGGGGCCAGCAATGCTCAGGTCACATGGGCCAGCTCCTGGCCAGGAGCTGTGGATGAAGAGAGGAAAAATGGCCCATTTTACTCATAGTGCACTGGAGTCCACATCTCACTGTTCTTGCTTCCAGCGCTCTTGCTCTGCCTCTTCCATCCTTCCTCATGGAGAGGATGGTTTCCCACTCTTATATTACTACTGTGACCAAATAATGAGTATTTTCTTTCTCTGTGGCTTCTTCTAAGTGGACTTAGAGAATGACAAATAATGATGGGGTGAGAGGCCAGAGAATGAATCAGTAAAACATTTGTGGGCTCTTACAAACAATGGTCTTCCTCTCTCCAGCATTCTCCCAGGCAGGAGGCCTCCAGAATCATGATGGATAACACATGTCCCCAGCTTACAGAGGATGTGCCCCCTGACCAGCTAAGCCCCATCTGTCACACCCTGCCCTTGATTTACAAGAGAGGAAGGGAAAAATGGGGTTAGGGCTTATTTTGGAGACTGTAGAGTGATGGCTGTGAATCACACCTCTGTGTTTCTGAATTGATTCTAGGAGTTAATGTTTTTCCTTTGTCTTTTGTAAGCGGATAGAAAACACTGGATAAAGACCAGATGGATTTATTTAATTTTTGTGGTTTATATTCTTTTCTTAGAGCTTTTGAGGTCTTGCAATAAAAGATAACAGTCAAGGAAATTATTTAGAAATGACATAGACCATGTAATGAAGAGGGTACCGGTGTTGAAAGGAGGCAAGAGGAGGAATAGTAATTACACAAAAGATACTGAATTTTGTGCCTGCTGAAAAAGGAAGGCAAAGGAAAAGAAGAGAAAGGAAAAAGAAAGAAATTTAAGAGCACACAGTTTATTCTTCCAGTTGTTTCTTTGAAGGTATTTTTATAGGGCACTTAAAGTTTGATATTCAGGCAAATAGTTTTCTTCACATCTGACCTGAAATATGACCCAGGCTGGAAAATCAGAACCTGAAGAATGAGTGATTGACATGACCCTTAGATAAAATGCTCTGTGAGCCATTGCCTGAAGAAGTACATATCTTTTTTTTTCTTCTTTCTTTCTTTCTTTCTTTCTTTCTTTTTTCTTTTCTTTTTTTTTTTTTTTGGTACCGAGGATCAAACTTGGGTCCTTACGCTTGAGGGGCAGGTGGCAGAACCACTGAGCTAAATCCCCAGCCCTCCTAGTACATATCTTTCCATCCAAGACCGAGACAGTCAGCTGAGTTTGAGAGATTGATAGTGCATGCTGTTGTTTGGGAGGAGATACTTATGTATTACCAGTGCCCACTGTTTCCTTTTGAATTCTCTGATAACTCATTTTGTGGTATAATTGTCATTAGTGGGAATGTCACTGACCAAGTAGGTGGTAATAATGACCAGAAGGTAGAGATAGTTGGGTAGGAAGGAATCAGACATATGGAGAGACTCTTCTGTTTCTACATTCCAGCAACATTGTTCCCAAAGAACATAAGACTGCTTATGAATGGATTTTTTTTTTGTCTTATAAAATCTATTGCTCAACAAGCTACATAACTGTTAAAGGAGTCCATTGAAAATACAGATGGGATGAAGGCGGAAATGGCTGCCCTTGGCCTTGCTTTCTACATTTCTCTAGGTTTTTTTTAACAAAGGTGCAGCAGTTTGTTGACCATTTGTAGGCTTTGAATGTTTTTTGCATCAGGAGTTAAAGATTTCCCCATCTGAAAAAGAGTAAGGGAAACTAATCCAGATGTCACACATGAATGTTTGCAGAAAATCAAGTGTTAATATATTGTTTAAAAATAATATGGTAACACAAGCTCTTCCAACCCCCTGGCCCTGATGAGTGAAATCACTTAAATGAGATCCTTTTCCCCTTTGCTCACCCCGTTCACACTTTGATTGGGATTTCCCAGGCATTTGAGAAGGGTTCTTTTCAATTCTGTGCTCTCATGTTTCACTTGTAATTAGCTATTTCAATTGTGGTTGGATACTCCTTCCTTTTATCATGTCTCGGGTTGTTGTTTTTGGTTAATTTTGTTCTTTTTGAACCAAGAGTTGGCTCATCTGCTCTATCATTTTTAATCTGTTCCTTGAAGCAGAACAAACTCGTGAAAGAATAAAGACAGTGTTTTCGAGGGAAGAGTTAGCTGGAGCGTGATTCTCAGACATTTTGTCATATGTGAAGACTTGGTTAGATTTCCAGCACCTCCTCCCCTTTTTTGTCCCTGCTCTTTTAACCTCAACTTGGGGGATGCTTTCAGTCCTTGAATTATTTCTCTATCCCCCAGGCTTCAAACCAGCATTTCATTTCTTCCTCTTTAAATTTCCCATTTATCTATTCACCTTTTTTAATTGAAAAATTAAAATTGTATATGTTTTACCCATCTTTTAAACATTGTCTTCATTGAACCTACATCATAAAGTTTACTCATTTAAAGTATGCATTTCAATGGTTTTCAATATGTTTAAGGATTGTACTTTCATCATCATTATCTAATTTTCGAATACTTCCTTCACCCCCAAAACAAACTCCATACCTGTGAGTAGTCATTCCCTATAAAGACCTACCTTGGAGATCTTGCAGGTTTTGTTCCAGACCACTGTATTAATGCAAATATCCTAATAATCTATACAATTTTTTTGTTTCCCAGTTCATCTAAAAGTTATGTTTAAACTCTACTATAGTCTGTTATAATGTGTGTTATAGCATTATGTCTAAAAATGTACATACTTTAAGAATACTTCATTTTGCTAAAAAATGCTGACAATCATCTGAACCCTCAATGAGCCAGTTTTTTTGCTGGTAGAGGGTCTTGCCTCAGTGTTAATGGCAGCAGACTCTTCAGAGTGATACTTGCCAAAGGTTGACAGTGGCAGCTTCTTAAAAAAAGACAGTAGTGAAGTTTGCCATTTGATACCACTTTGTCCATGGTAGACCATCTTTCAAAATTAGAATTCAAATGGTAACACTGCTCCATGTACTAAGTTTATGTAGTATTCTGAATTCTTTGTGGTCATTTCAACAATATTCACTGCAGTTTCATCAGGAATAGATTCTATCACAAGAAACTACTTTCTTTGCTCATGTGTCAGCAACAGTTGGTCATCATTAAAGTTTTATCATGAGGTTTCAGCAGTTCAGTTACTTCTTCAGGCTCTTCTTCTATTTCTTGTTCTTCTGCTATTTCTACCACATCTGAAGTTATTTCCTCCACCGCAGTCTTGAATCTCAAGGTCATCTGTAAGAGTTGGAATCAACATCTTTCAAACTCCTGTTGATCTTCGTATTTTGACTTCTCACCATGAATCATGAATTTTCTTTAAGATGATCCTTTTCTAGTTTTTAATTCACATTCCCAGATCCATCAGAAGAATCACTATCTTTGGCAATTACAGCCTTATGAAATGTATTTCTTAAATAATAAATCTTATACATTAAAATTACTCCTTGACCCATGGGCTGCAGAATGGGTGTTGTATTAGCAGGCATGAAAAAAGCATTAATCTCATTATACATCTCCATCAGAGCTCGTGAATGACCACATGCATCATCAGTGAGCAGAAAAATTTTGAATATTTTCCTGAGCAGTAGGTCTCAACAGTGGGCTTAAAATATTTACTTAAGCATGTTGTAAACAAATGTGCTGTCATCCAGGCTCTGTTGTCCCATTTATAGAGCACAGGCAGAGTAGATTTAGTGTAATTCTTAAGAGCCATGGATTTACAGAATGGTACATGAGCCTCAGCTTCAACTTAAAGTCACAACTATATTAACCCCTAGCAAGAAAGTCAGTGTGGCCTTAGCTTTGAAGCCAAGCACTGACTTTTCCTTTCTAGCTATGAAACTCCTAGATGGCAGCTTCTTCCCATAAAAGGTTTTCTCATCTACCTTAAAAATATGCTGTTCATTATAGTTACCTTCAGCAGTGATCTCCGCTAGATCTTCTGGATAACTAGCTATAGCTTCTACCTCAGTATTTACTGTGTTTTCTTACACTTTTATGTTATGGCAATGACTTCTGTCCTTAAACCTCATGAATCAACCTCTGCTACTTTCAAACTCCTCTCCTGCAGCTTCTCCACCTCTCCTAGTTTTCAGAGAATTAAAGAGACTTAGGGCCTTACTCTAGATTAGGCTTTAACTTAAAGCAGTGCACTGATTTGATCTTTTATCAAGACCACTAAAATTTTCTCCATATTAGTAATAAGACTGTTTTGCTTTCTCATTATTCATGTGTTCACTGGAGTAGCACTTTTATGACCTTCAAGAACTTTTCCTTTGTATTCACAAGGTGACTAATCAGTGCAAGAGACCTAGCTTTTGGCCCATCTCAGCTTTGGACATAGATTCCTCACCATTGTTAATCATTTCTAGCTTTTAATATAAAGTGAAAAGTATCAGCTCTTCTTTTTCACTTGAACACTTAGAAGCCATTCATTTCTTGCCTTTTCCATCTTCTAGAGGCTGTGTGGATTCTTTGGCTTATGGTTCCCTTCCATGTGCAAAGGCAGCAATGGATGGTCCCATCTTTCTTATGGTACTATATCTCTTTTACTGAATCTTCTGCTGCTCCTTTCCTATATAAGGGCCCTTGTGATTATATGTCCACCTGGATAATCCAAGATAATGTCTTACTTGAAAGTCATCTGGTTAGCAACCTTAATTCCCTCTTGTCATGGAACATAACATTCATAGGTTCCACAGATTAGAAATGGACATCTTTGAGATCCTATTTTGCTGCCAATAACACTTCCTTTTCTCTCTAACCCTGGTCTTAGGCAACCATTAATCTACTTTCTGTCTCTATAGATCTACACACCTTTATCTTTCTCCTTCACATTCCATGTCTTCCTTGGGTTTCATGTTCAGCCTTTGCTGTCTCCTTACTCTTATGGTCTCTTTATGACCAACATATTTCCCCTCATTTCTTGGGTTATGACTGCCTTCTGGATACAGAAAATGAAATGGATAATAGACAGGGGAAGATGGGCAAAGTTTTATACGACCAAATGCTGGAACAGGAAAGAGGTGCACAGATGTCATCAAAATATATTAATAATTAACTATGTACAAAGTACCTAGAAATTGAATAAGCTGGATCATATAGTAGAAACATTCCTTTCTATAAACTACGGATCACTTGGTTTTGAGGCAACCCATTTGTTCTTTAAACATTTCAGCTACCTCAAACTGTAAAAGGAAGGAGGTTGGACCACATTAGTGGTTCTGAGGGGGTGCCTCCTGGGCCAGCAACAGTAGCCTCTCCTTAGAAATGCAAATGCTTCAGCCCCATTCCAGACCTACTTCAGAAACCCTGGGCAGGACCCTCTCCCCCGCACCCCTCAGCACCAAAGCTGTGTAAATGATTCTGATATTATACTAAAATTTGAGATCCACTGGGCTAGATTATATCTAAATTCCCACCTAATACAGTCTGTGAGTAAAATTCTAGGCATTTAAAAATAAATGTAATTTTAATAGGAAAAGAACAAGAAAACGCTAAAATGGAATAGGTAATTTGAAAGTGTGAGATTTTTAGGTAGCTATTAGAAGGATTTGTATTTTGTCAAAATTTCCCATCATTTAATGTCACTTGATCCAAACTTATGACCTAGATCCAAACCCTAGAATTTCTGTGTATGAGTCAAAGAATCTGAGAGTACATATTGCATGGCGTAAAATAAAAGTCTTTTATTTCCATTGAAACTTGCTGTGTGTTCCACACCCACAGGTCTATAACACTGGCCCGAGCACCCTTCCTGGATCATCTGTCAGCATTTCATTCCCTAACCGACTGTCACCTGGTGGTGCGGAGATGTTTCAGGTCCAGAAGATGGTGGTGAGTCTTGTGTTTGTTTGCTTTGTTGCTTCAGCCTTGAATGAATCAGCCTGTTCAGATTTTTGTATTCCACCCACCCTGACATCCACTCTGAGTGCCCAGAGAATTTAACCTCTATACATACCTCTTGGAAACATATCTGGAGAAGACAGGGGACCTATGATATGTTAATTTCTTCGTTGAGACAGTTTGGTTGATGCCGTATGAGAACCTCCATGGGGATGGGGAAGGGTTGATTGTGAACCTGACTCCTGGGAACTCCTGACCTGGCTCCGGAAACCCCCAGTGACTCTCTAGTCCTATGTGTGTCTGAGTGCATTTCTCTGAGAAGATCCACAAAATTTATAAAGTTTCTCAACGAGCCACTGACACCCAGGGATAAAGGATTAGTTTGTAAAGACATAATCTTAGGTTGAAATTCAAATTTATATGCACAATATGTAGCTCTGCCTGATCCTGAGTCAATGATGGATGACTTTGTCTCAAGGTGAGCTTGATGACCAGTGTATATATGGCCATTGCTGTCTACCTCAAAACATTTTTCTTGACTTCTGTGACATCACATTCTCCCTGTTTCTCTTTCTCACTGACTTTTGTCTTCATTTCACCAACCTCTAGAGGGCTCAGAGCCTCCTTTATTCTACACCCCACCTCTGAGATCTCATTCATACTCACGGCTTTTAAGTGTGTACCTTTCTGTCTTAGTCCATTTTTTGTTGTTAATAACATAATACCAGAGAGTAGATATAAAGAATTTTGATTCATGGTTCAGGAGGTCCAAAGTTGATGGACTGTATCTAGTGATAGTCGTCTTGCTAACAAAATCTCACGGCATCACAAGACACTGTATGGAAAATAAAACAAAAACAAAAACATGGAAACAGCAAGGTGCGTGTGTGTGTGTGTGTGTCTGTCTGTCTGTCTCCATCCATCAGTCCTTTGTTCTCTTTTCCTCTTGTAAATCTGCCAGTATTCCATCATGGAAGTGTTCAACCCTGATGGCCTTATCTAATTCTTATTACCTTCCAAAGGCCCACCTCTAAACACCATTGTCATGTGAAGCTTCTGCCCTCTTAATACCTCGAGAGGAGATTGAGCATCAACATGAGTTTCAGGGAGTGTTCATACTGTAGCAGCTTCCAAACCTGCTTCTCCCATAGCCTCTTTATTTCAGCAAACAGCCTGTCCATCTTTCATGTGTTTGTATCAAAAATGTCAGGTCATCCTTCCTTAATTTCCTTTTTTTTTCATTGACTTTATATCTAATTCATCAGCGAACCTAATGTCTCCTCCTTCACAACAAATCCAGAATATCACTGCTATTGGCATTTCCATTTCCAGCACCTTGGTGTCCAGGGTCCTATTGTCTGTCACCTAGGTTGTGATAGCCCCTCTCTGGTGTCCCTGCCTCGGCCCTGGCCCTTTTTGGTTCACCTTTGACCTTCCAGTGTGGAAGGTAATGGCACCTCTGCTCAAAACCTTCCAATGGCTTTTTCTCCCACTGGTCCCCACAGTCTGTTGTCTCTGACCTCCTCTCCTCCTCCTTTTCCTCTCTCTCCTTTACTCTGTACAACCTCCTTGGTAATCCCACATTCTTCTACCCACAGAATTGTGCCCCCTGTTCTTCTTCTGCCTGGAATGCTCATCCTCAGACATGCACATGGCCTCATCCCTCACCTCCTTCAGGTACCCACTCAAATGTCAGTGAAATCCTAGCACACCACATCACCCTTTCCTGTTCACATTTCACCATTACCTCATCACCAAGCTGACATCCCATATATTTTCTTGTTTCATCAGTTTAACTGACTCCTTCCCATCCTTTCCAATACAAGGATATGGATTTCTGTCTGTCTACTCACTGCTGTGTCTCTAGGACCAAGTGCAACTCTTGACATATAACATGGGCTTGGTAAATATTTGTAGACTGGAAGAATAAATCCATAGGAGAAAACCAAATTGTCTAAGCAAATTCAGGAAAAATACGGATAACAATCTCAATAGAAATCCCTTTGCTCAGTGATTCGAGTTTTGCTTGCTGAGAAATATTTCATGTGGGGCCGGGAATTTAGCTCAGTGGTGCCGCTGCCTGCCTTGCAAATGCAAGGTCCTGAGTTCGATCCCTGGTACAAAAAAAAAAAAAAAAAAGAGTATTTCATGTTTCCACTGTGAGTCTTGTTATCAGAGTGCTGAAAGACTAGGTGCGAGGGTGCTGCCTCCTACAGAGGCCCTGGGGAGGCTGGGGGCGTGGAGCTCAGGGGAGTCAGTGCACAGGAGACCATGTCAGACCATGTTGAAAGGATCAGAAAAGCATGCTCCTTATGTGGTCTTGGGAGGGATAGACAGCAGATAAAGGGACAGTCTCTCCATAGGTATCTTGAAAATCAGACAGCAGGGGCATGGTATGTGACAGATCTGAGTGCAGAGTTGAAGAGGACATTGCCCGCAGGGTGGAGACTTAGCATCCTGCCATGCAGTTACAGTTTCTAACATCGCTGTCCCCTTGGGTCATGTGGGCAGGAAATCAGAACCCTGTGAATGTTGAATGTAGAATCAGTCACCATGACTGATTGCCTGCTCAATTATGTCCTTCATAATATTCCATTCATGTCCTGTTGTGTGCCCTTGTCTGTGAGCTCTGTTGAGCCGTCAGGGAATCTACAGTGTTGTGGATCAGCAACACAGCATGGTTTGAACTTGGCCTGAGATTAGCAAACCACATGCACCTGTCCTTTCCTTCTCCCTCTCCACCTTCTCCTCCCCTTCCATCCTCCTCCCTGTTCCCCCTTCCTCTCCCTCTCCGCTCCTTCCACATACACTTTCTATGTTTTTTGGTGCTTGGGGGTTGAGCCCAGAGCCTAGTCTATTACTGGACTACATCCCCCTGTTCTCCCCCTCAAATATTATTAATCATACTAACTACTGCACCTTATCCCCTGACATCTAGGAGTGTTCTCTCATACAGCATGCTAAGACTTGTTCATATAAATACCTACAATCTTGTAGAGAGACTATATTTCCTTTAGGCTAATTGATTTTTAACCAAATCTGTGGTCACTCATTTCGGTCCCTCAGATTCTATAGCTCAGAACAAAGCACACCCTTGTTTGTACTTACTGATTATCAGGCCAAGGAGAAAGCACTGGAAAGGACTTTGGAGCACACCAATAAATGTGCGTGAAAGAAATTAGAAGTGGTTTTCCTGAACATTTGCAAACTGATGGTCTGTTAGTCTAGCTGAGTGGACCCTCAAACTCCCAGGTGGTGTGAGCTGCCTGCATTCTGCTGTCAGCGTGCTCAAAGACAAACCCTTTGGATTTTCAAAACTATAATTAGAATTTTCAAAGTCTGTAATAGAATTCTCAGGGGTGTCTGAGCCAGGTGAAGTGACCAGTCCATAGCATTGCATGTTATGGACAAGCAGACTCATGGGAAATCTCACTAAGCAAGTAGTGAAACACTATGTTCTTGTGGACAATCGTCACTGGAGGCCAGAGTGCTGATGAGACTGGAAACAACAGATGCAAAGTGTGCTGCAGAGATGAGGCAAGAGTACCCGATGCTTGTCTCAGACACCTGAAGCTCACACATCCTTCACCTTCATGTCCATGGTTTCTGAGAGCAAATGCACCCTGCAGCTCAGGCAGCTTCCCAGCCCTAGCCCCTCCCTTGCTCAGCAGAATCTAAGAATGTTCACTGGGTCCAGGATTACTCCTAAAACACATGACATTCTCCTCTTTATCCTTCTCTAAGTTTGAATGGCGCAGGGCTTTCCTGTGTGGATTTGAGTGGCTTAGAGCTAGTCATTCTCCTTAGGAGAAATGTACTCCTCAGTGTTGACCCTGAGCCCTGGTGCCATTCCCTCCTCAACCCCACCCCAGCCAGCATCCAACAGGCTCCTGAGCATCCGACTGCCCGCAGCTATGTTAAACCAATTGCAGCCAGAGACAAATGACAGGCATGGTGGGAAGATCCATCTGTCATTCCCATTCATATCCCAGGAGACTCTCAGAGTGTTTTTGTTCCTTTAGCTGTGCCCTCCACATTCATACTGCTTATGATCACATCATATAGAATGCTGGGCGTCCTGGGCTCTCCCTCCTTCAGCCTTGAGTCTGGCACAGTTTATTTCAGTGCAGAGTTCATGCAGAAGCCTGTGGGGCTGCTTAGTGGGTCACTGGAAGGTGTGGCCTTCTGGGTTTCACCAAAGCATGGTCTGTGCTTGCCTGGAGGGTTTCGTAAGGTCCATCTTGAGCGGCGACTCTGCTTGTATGGGAGATACACTTAATGGGGAGCCTAATAAGGTGAGGCCACTCCATACACTCTACTTCAGTTCATGATCTTCTTTCCTTGTGAGAAATATTTTGTTTGGAAATAGAGCCATCATGGTGGCCTGGGGAAAGACCAGTATCTCCATTGCTTTCTGCCCTCTGGGGTTGTGTGGAGTCCTGTGGAGACACAGTAACTACCCACAGCACAGACATATATGGATGGGCCATTGAGAACCCAGTGTTTATTAGGAAGCTAGTTCAGAGTGACCATGAAAGTTATTGACTCAGAGAGAAGAAAAAAATGACGTAATATTCCTAGTCTATCTAAAACAACATCTTTACCAATGGGTTAGAAACTTGAGTTGAGGGATTTCCCAGGTTATAATGCAAAAAGAGAAAAAGCCAGTTAAGTATATCTGCTTTTCTTTTATATAACAATCTGGAGTGAAAACCCAAGATCACTTCAGTCAGCATATGAGTTAAGAAGCAGGAGACGACAGACATGAAAGCGAGCCAGGAGTTTGGTTAAGAGTTTATCTAGCAGTTAACCTAGGGATTTGGTTTTAAAAAATTCAAATGTGTAAAATATTTAATTGTAAATTAGTAGATTAAAAAATTGTAGAGTATCTAAACCACTAAAGAAGAAGATTTAAAACAGAAGAAATTTTTAAATAATCCTGAAAAAAAGCACTCATAAAAAATACATATATGTACAAAATAAGATAGCAG